GATGAGAAGATTATAATAAATCGTTTTGGGCAATCAATCTAGAAATATAATATAGGTACAATAAATCTGATTTGGTGAGCAAAACAAAAATTGATAAGTACCTCGATATCATATTGATGGAGAAGAGGAATACCAAATGTCTGAGTTCTATCACCATTAAACTAGTGTAGACTGAAAGTGAACCTTAATCTGCGAACGCAATGACATTATCAGTTTGTCTTTCTCTGCAGATGTCTTTGTATAAATAAACCAAACACTAATTATTAGGACCAAATGGCACTTTGGTTTTCAGATGGGATTAAAAAATTGCAAACAGCTTGGAGACAGAAACAATCAAATTATTAAAATTTGAAAAATTTCCACCTGAGTCTACCCCCCTCATTTCTCGACTTACTGTCAACTTTAATAAGTTTCAGTAGAAACCATGGGTGCCATGACAGGGTGAGAGACAGGAGAAATAATTTGTACGTTCTGGGCTTAGATTTAATGTTGCGTGAGACAAGCAATGATGAATAGAATGAGTCGAATAACATAATGGTGAAAATAAAAAGAGATTCAGACACGAAAGATGAATACAGGAACGTTTGGTTAGGTAGTGATCTTATATTACTTAATTATTATGTTTGATTATCAAGTAATATAAAAAACGTATAAACTTCAAATAACAATATTGGTTATTGTTGATAATATTAGAGGTAATCTGATTACCTCATTTTTAGGGATTATAAGATTACTTGGGTAATCTTTTTTGTTATAATTCTATCAATTATTAATAAAATTTTAGGACAATAATATCCTTATTTTTAAATTTATTTACATGAATCTTGCTTTTATCATTTCACCCCAATTAATTAACTTTTTGGACAAAATTACCCTGAAATCAAAACAAATTTCAGCTTACCCAAGCCACCACCCCCCCACCCACCTGCTGCCGCTTGTCGCCAGCCAAACCACCGCCAGTCGTCGCTGAAAGTCGTTTAAGTCATCTAGAGTCACTGTGAGCAGCCCACAGTGATCGGGAGGCCCGATATGGCTGAAAATGGCCAGAATAGATTTGGCCATTTTCGACCTGATTGCTTTTGATATGGCCTTTTCGGCCATCAATATGGCCAAAAAACAGCCATAGCAGGGCCTCCCGATCGCGGTGGCTGCTCACGACGACTTTCGACAGTGGTTTGTGGTGGTGGCGACAGGGTGGTGGGGGTGAGTTTGTTATATGTTAAAGTTTTATATAAGCGGGGTGTTAGCTAAATTTGAAATATTGGGGGTTAAAAAATTTATTTAAACATTAATAATAAAAATAATATTATATAATATTTAAAAATAGGGTAATTTAGTAATTTAATAACATACCTATCAATTTATTCATCCTAACCAAACATATTAATATAACATACCTACCAATTTATTCCAACTAATCAAACATATTTTCTTAAAGATTTTCAGTAATCTTTAAAGTAATATAAGATTCTAATAATCTAATATTTTTAATAATCTAATATTTCCTGAATCAAATTTACCCACATAGCTTTGTGTGATTCTTTCTGAAAGTTAGAACCTAACTGCTACCATAAGTTTTGTCCAGATTAACACTACAATCAGTTTGTGGCAGAGAAATCAAGATATATCCAAAAGATAGTAGATAGTAACATAGTAGCTTAGACAGGGACAATATAAAATGAACTTTAAGAAAGACATTTAAAGGTGTCCGGAGTTATTATATTTAATTTAGCATTATTAAAAGCGACGGAGACTTTGCCTTGGAAGACTCTAATATAATGTCCAAATATGAATCATTACTAACTTTACCAACCCCCGCTGGAATATCTAATTATCTTGAGAATATCTCACCAACCTTTCCTTACCATTCCTTCTTGAATAGTGACGGGGTGAGCGGTTCCAGATTCCAGTTCCTTTCCGCGTTTGTAAAAAATAATTATCTCTTATTAATTTAAAAAATAATAAAAATATTTTAAAAATTTACAAATACATCTCCAATAAATTTTAATTACTCATTCATTTATGTCCAATGTGACTCATAAATCCTCTAATCTCTAGACAATACTTGAATTCAATCAATTCATCACAATTCACATAAAATTCCTCAATCAAAACCAAAACATAAACAATTAATTAAACAATCATATTATAAATCTATAATTTAATATTATAATTAATTAAATTTCTAATCATTTAATTAAATATTGTACTAATATTTATAATGGAATATTATAATTTATTAAGTAATCATACTATAAATCTATAATGTAATGTTATAATTAATTAAATTTTTAATCATTTAATTAAGTAATGTACTAATGTAGTAAATTACTAATGTTTATAATATAATGTTATAAACTTATAATTAATTAAGTAATCATTTAACTATGTAATGTTATAATTAATTAAGTGATTATAATATAATATAATGTTATTATTAATTAAGTAATTATTTAATTATAATGTAATGTTTTAATTAATTAAATTTCTAATAATTTAATTAAGTATTGTACTAATGTTTATAATAGAATGTTATAATTAATTAAGTAATCATACTATAAATTTATAATGTAATGCTATAATTAATTAAATTTTTAATCATTTAATTAGGTATTGTGCTAATGTAATAAATTATTAATGTTTATAATATAATGTAATAATTAATTAAGTAATCATTTCATTATGTAATGTTATAATTAATTATGTGATTATACTATAATGTAATGTTATAATAAATTAAGTAATTATATTATAAATCTTTAATATAATATTATAATTAATTAAATTTCTAATCATTTAATTAAGTATTGTACTAATGTTTATAATGGAATGTTATAATTAATTAAGTAATCTTTTAATTAAGTAATCATTTGTTTATAACATAATGTTATAATTAATTAAGTAATCATACTATAAATTTATAATGTAATGTTATAATTAATTAAATTTCTAATCATTTAATTAAGTATTGTACTAATATAGTAAATTATTAATGTTTATAGGATAATGTCATAATTAGTTAAGTAACTATTTCATTATGTAATGTTATAATTAATTATGTGATCATACTATAATGTAATGTTATAATAAATTAAGTAACCATATTATAAATTTTTAATCGTTTAATTAAATATTGTATTAATGTTTATAATGAAATATTATAATTAATTAAGTAATCATTTAACTATAATGTAATGTTATAATTGATTAAGTAATCATTTAACTAGTAATGTATTAATGTTTATCGATTTATTTTATATAATTAGTTAATTACTAATTAATCATAGATATACTTAAAACTTGATAATTGAAGGAAATAACTAAATATTAAATTATTATTCAATCCAATATTCTTTTAAAAAATAATTCTTTTAATAACATTAAAATACTTTTAATTGGTTTTAATTCCAATTATACACTTAATTAATCAAAGCTTTAATATTAATATATTATATTATATTAAAGTTTTTTATTTGGTGTAGTTTATATGTAATAAGTATAATTGTATATTTATTTAATTAGGTTATTGTAAAAATTTAACTATTTTTATTTTAATTTTTTTATATGTAAAATTACAAGAGACCCCTCCCCCCTTTTTCACAGATATTTTATTTCAGCTCAGGTTCCAAAACAAGGTACCCACTACAGGTTCCAAGCAAGGCACCCGTTGCAGATTATTTTTTCTAGATTCTGGTTCCAGTTCCTCCACATGTAGGAACCGGAACCGAAACCACATAGTGTCGATTCCAAAAAAATAGAATCGGAACCTACCCGCACAGTGTCGGTTTTGAGTAGGTTTCGGTTCTGATTCCGATTCTACCCGCAGGTTCCGGTTCTACCCGCTACTCGTGCTCACCTTTAGAGTCATTGGGTTTATGTAAGATAATTCAAATCCTAATTAAATGAAATCATTCAAAATTTACCAAAATAACTATACAGTCCAAGAATGAAGTGGGTGTGGACATAGTGAATCCAACCAAATTCATTGTGTTTTTGCAAATCTGTAAAATTCTGACTTAGTACGAGAATAGGAGATAGTATCAAACTCTGCTTCTGCAATACCCAAACAAAATAAGAGCCAAAATCTAACACGACTTTCCATCGATATACTCAGCCCCACCCCACCTCTTAGTTTATTGCTACCGTTCAAATATATACATTTTGACAACTTTAATCTTAACTAATATAAGATCGATAACGTGACTATAAAAGGCAAGGTTATCTAAACACCACCATTTTAATAAAATAAAAAATTATCAATAAAGTAGATTTATTTAAACATAAATGGAATGAAATTTAGATGGGCCTAAAAATCATTTCTCTATATTTATGTTTGTGTTTGGAGTTACTTTGAGGTAAATACTGGTAAGAAAAAAATTTAAATCCATTAATTGAGAAAATATAATATTTATACAAGAGATTAAGTTCAAGTCTTTTTCTATACAAAAGCACTTGTGAATCATTTATTTGTAAATAAAAAAATGTTAAATAGATTATGCTAGTCCTAGCCATGTAAATCACGAAACATGAAAATAATGTTACTAGGTCCATTGAAATATATAGATCGCTTTTTCAATCCAATAAAATCCTTAAATACACTATTTGTGTTGTTATCATAGAAATTATTGTGAACAAATGGTCCATTATATTTCTAAGACTTATCATAAACCATTAATTGCTTCTTACAAGTGTTAAATATGAACCGTAACTGCTAGGCATTTAGGCGGTGGAATGAGCTTATATATACCCAGACTCCTTTGTAAATGAAAAGGGTCTCCTACAGAACCTCATTGTTTGTAAGCCACTGATCAGTGTCTATCTATCCCAATCTCATCGTTTTACTTACATCTCTCATATTATCTTCCCATGAAATTAATTATTATATGTCAGAAATTGATATATTTTAATAAATTTTACATATTTGAATAAGTCGTACCAAACATTATAATATATATATACAAATATGTTAAAGTACAAAATTATAATCATTTATATATATATAAGATTATAAGAAATGCATGCAAATTAACCCGCTCAAGTATCCTATTTCAAAGCTGTAATCTCAAAATCTCTTTCACTCTCGTTGTGCGATGGAGAATAGTAAGCAACCGCTTCTCTCCCCAAGAGATGATGGAGACCAATTACAATCACTTCCAAAAGAAACCAACAACTCCATCTCCTCCATCACCTTCACCGCTGGAGCTGATGACATCCCTCCGATCACCGGCCTCCGTGACTTCTCCAGAGAGTTCTACAGAGAATCCAAGAAGCTATGGTACCTTGCCGGACCTGCCATCTTCACCTCCATCTGCCAATACTCTCTCGGCGCCATCACTCAAGTCTTTTCCGGCCATGTCAGCACCATCGCCCTCGCTGCTGTATCCGTCGAGAACTCTGTCATCGCCGGCTTCTCATTCGGTCTCATGGTAACATAATAATTAAGTACTCATCTGAGAACTCTTCTATTAGATTTTTCGAATTAATAATGAATCAAACTAATTTAAACTGCAGCTTGGAATGGGAAGCGCCCTGGAGACACTGTGCGGGCAAGCCTATGGAGCTGGACAACTTGACATGTTAGGGATCTATATGCAAAGATCTTGGGTTATTCTCAACACTACGGCTTTAATGCTTATGTTTGTATACATATTTGCTCAACAACTTCTGAGTTTAATAGGGCAGACGGCAGCGATATCAAAGGCGGCGGGGACATTCGCCATCTGGATGATTCCACAACTATTTGCATACGCAGTGAATTTCCCTATGGCAAAGTTTTTACAGGCTCAGAGCAAGATGATGGTCATGGCTGTGATTGCGGCTGCCGCCTTGATATTGCATACTTTTTTTAGTTGGTTATTGATGTTGAAACTCGATTGGGGTCTGGTGGGTGCGGCTGTGGTACTAAATGTATCCTGGTGGTTAATTGATGCAGCTCAACTGGTTTATATTTTCAGTGGGACTTGCGGGCGAGCTTGGACTGGATTTTCATGGAAGTCCTTTCAGAATTTGTGGGGTTTTGTTCGGTTGTCTTTGGCGTCAGCTGTCATGCTCTGGTGAGAAACTTTTAACCGGTCGTCACCTTTAGTTTTTTAGTTTTCTGAATAGTGTAATTATAATTAGAATGACTGGTTGAATCAAAATGATCCTTGTCTTTCCTTATATTATTTATTCCTCTTTTTCCACCAAGGAACGATTTTTTTTATCCGTTAATGCTGAATTGACGTGTTGTGGTATCTTCTCTCTCAATGACCAAATCTAATTGAAAACAATCATTGTCTAAGATGCTCAATATTCTAACGCTGTATTATTTTACTGTTATGGCAATATATTCCATCTCGATCACAATGAATAAATAGGACTAACTCAATAGGGCAAATTATGCTAATTTCACCCAAAGATTTGGTCTAACTATATTTATAATCTTTTGCAGCTTGGAGGTATGGTACTTTATGGCATTAATACTGTTTGCTGGATATTTAAAAAACGCCGAGGTTTCTGTAGATGCTTTGTCCATTTGGTGAGCCTTATTTTTTATTATTACCTAAAAGGAATTTGTTTTATTGTTGAATTAATTGTGACCAATTTGCATTTGAAATGCGCCAGTTGAACCCTGTAGATTCTTCTCCGCAACTCAATTCATCATTTTCTCAGTTAAAAAAAAAAGAGCTAGAGTTAAGTTTCACTAACCAAGGAAGATTTAGTACAGTTTCTTGCTCTCAGTTTGGGTAGTTTCTGGACAAGCACATGTTAAAGACACATGTTTCTGTGTAGATGTAGAAATAGGTCATTTTAATTTGAATACCTAACACCCACCGAAGTACTGTAAAATATAATAAATAAACCAGTTTATTTAATTAGTTGGGAAATTTGAATAGAAGGTACACCTAACAGTCGAATGGCTCAGCCAGAAAAATCAAAATTATCAATCTATCTTCTGTGTTTGATTTTTACACGTCTACTTTTAAAAAACAGTCAATATTGCATACACCATCTGAGAACACATCAAGAAAATAATGAAGCCATAATATAACAGCCAAGATAAACTTTCTGTTAAATATATCTTTATTATAATATGATAAATGCATCATTTAATGACAGTTTTTGTGGTATGAATTATTGAATTTTGCAGCATGAACATATTGGGGTGGACTGTTATGGTGGCTCTGGGAATGAATGCAGCTGTAAGGTTAGTTGCAGTAACACACATCTATCGAGATCTGCTTCTATGTAACTTAACCTCAATACATTTAAGAAAATTACTGAACGATTTTACTCTAAAAATTGATGCAGTGTGAGAGTGTCAAATGAACTAGGGGCAGGTCACCCAAGAACTGCAAAATTTTCATTAGTGGTGGCTGTAATATCTGCATTTTTGATAAGCCTTGTCCTCTCAATTATTCTGATCCTTACACGGGACAAGTACCCAACATTATTTTCAAGTGATTCAGAAGTTATAGCTGTTGTTAATGACCTGACTCCGATGCTGGCTCTCTGTATCGTCATTAACAATATTCAACCAGTTCTCTCTGGTAATTAATCTTAACTTATTCTATTAGGAACACCATGTGCTATTTATATGAATGAGAGATCATTTTCTTTTTGCAGGGGTGGCCATTGGAGCTGGATGGCAAGCTGTTGTTGCCTATGTAAACATTGGGTGTTACTATGTATTTGGCATTCCTTTGGGCCTCATACTGGGTTACAAGGTTGGCTGGGGTGTTCTGGTAAGTCTCTCTTCCTCTTCTATTCCTCATATTACTTGAAGATTAATTTGCAATTGCTTTAGTCTCGATCTACATGCATGCAATAATTAACCAAAGTATTGGTTGATCTGATAGTTTGATTTTACTGATCATAATCTTATTCAGGGGATCTGGTGTGGAATGCTATCGGGGACAGTCGTACAGACTTGTGTGCTTTTCGGGATGATTTATAAAACCAACTGGAACAAAGAGGTAAAATGTGCAATATTCTTACTAATAGACAAGAAAAGTGAAGTGATAAAACTGACCGAGATGATTTGATCCGTGATATGCAGGCTTCTATTGCTGAAGACAGAATAAGGAAATGGGGAGGGGAAACAAATTCCAAAGAAGATGCAGAAAACTAAAAGGGATTTTGAAGAACGTACGGGCACAGCTTCATTTTTGACAAAATTAAATATTAAATTGCGATGATGTTTTAGATTGATTAATAACAAATAATCCCATTGGCAATTGAATCCCGATTGTGATGATTCACCTTAGAATTTTTGGGGCAACAGTCTTCCGATATTTTTTGAATTAAAAACTCCAAAACTTTCTGTTCTTAGAAACGCCTGACCTTAACTAATCTCAACCACAAGATAAAATGGGTACGGCTAGATTAATTACATTCTTAAGTTTTCAGAAACGAAACTCAAGATTGAAATCAGTGTCTTCAAATGATCCTTCCAGTTTTGGGTTTCGACAATCCTAGATAACTATAAGCCACACGCAATTCCTACTAGACATGGAAAAACCATAACTTTGAAATTTAAGAACTTAGCTAATAGGTCGAAGCATGTCATTTGAAGGGAAAAATAATTGTATTAATTGGCCAGATTACAAAAACCAGAGAAACCATTAATTTCCCCTTTCCTGCTAAAAAGTTATGAGGGCTTGGTACTTGCAGCATTTGATGATTTGTAAACCATCAAACACAATTCTTTTCTTACTCAATCCAATAGGGGACAAAGTGGACAGTTTGAATTACTAAAAGAGGATGCATCTTTAAACCACAATCAACTGGATGTTAGATAGTTATAAAACAATTTAAAAAAAAAAAAAATGGTATACCATGTTTAGATGAATGATTGACATAAAGATGATGTAATACACCAGTATTAATAGACCTGGCGGGTTCATAGAAAAGGGAAGAAAAAAATATTTTTCTTTCTCTCTCCAGCTCCATTGCTGGATTCTTTTCTCCAACAATATCTTGCCTTTTCTTCTCTATCCACCTCCATTGTTGCCTTTTCTTCTCTCTCTTGCTCCACTGTGCATTTTCCTCTATCCAGCTCATCCTAAATCCCAATTAAAAAGAAAATTTTGGTCTGGTGACTGACTATTCTTCCTTTGGATTTTTTTATTTGAAAATGGATTTTTTTTTTTAAAAAAGAAAAAAAAGAAATTGGATTTTATCAGTGAATGAATTTTGATGTGACAGTGGTGAATTGAATTGATTTTTTAATTTAATTTTATTTCTTTGGACGGGTTTCTTTTATGGTGGTGGAACTGATAGTGTAGCGGTTCGAACTTGGAAGTTTGATAAGTGTAGTGGTGACGTGGCTTATGTGCTGGAGTATGAAATTTGAGAAGATGGACGGGATTTTAATTTTTGAGTAATGCTACAGTTATTAAAGATTATGTATCAAATTTGTGTATCAAATGACGTAGTAAAATCCTGATCGTTAATTTATTATCAGTTAATATTAATCAATAGTCAAGATTTTGTTACGTCATTCAATGTATATATTTGATGTGTAACCTTGGATGACTTTATCATTTTCCTTAATTTTGTTTGAGGAAGAAGGTTATTAATAAGAGAACAAAAGAGAGAGAGAGAGAGACATGCGGATCCACCCGAACCTGCATGACTGGGGGCATGGGTTATGCATTTCCTTACCCATTCAATTTTTATCCACTTAACCCATACCCGTGGTTATCCGGCCCGCCCGTCTGCCAAGTCTAAGTATTATCCCAAGTTTGGTTTCTTCTTTGTTGTTGTTTTGTTTTATTTTTTCCTTTTCTTTTTAGTGTTCTTTTTCCCGAATAGTGGATTACTTAATGAGATTTGACTATATCATCCTCAGTCCATTTATGCTTTGTGACCAAGATAATTCAGTTACGGTTTTGTTGCCACATAATATATGGGGAAAAGGAAAATAAGCAGAACACAGGGAATACCTATTGTGACGATCCCAATCAAATTGTTAAAAATGAAAAGAAAATAAAAAGTGATATTCTATTATTAATTCTAATTCATTAATATCACCTAAGTTTGTTTTCTCAATTTTGTTTTCCTTGTTATGGTGGATTGCTTAATTAGATTAAAGTATATTGCCTTTCTAAGTAAATATATTCCCATGAATGATTTGATGCAATAGAGTTGTACGATTTTAATGTTTGAAATCTTATGTTAATAGGTTGAAAAATTACTTGAATATAACATTTCAACAAAGTTTGTGGTATCATGATGGTATTGTTGATATGATACTATACCTTAATACATATATCAACAATACCTTAATACATATATGTCATATAGTTATTGTAGTTAATAATAACTAATCACATTTAATATAAAGATAGATGAGAGAAAAAAAAAAAAAAAAAAAAATTAAAGGATCATGTTAGGTAGATCTTTTGGATGATTAGATGCGTGCCACTTGTCCTTGCACCATGTCGGGATCTGACGGCTAAGTTTATCCCACGTGTCGCCCCACAAGTGTCCAGCAATAACAGATCCCTTATAGTCACTTGCGCATTGGTTCTCTTTCTGGCAGTTAAAGAGAATGTGACGAACCTATGAAATATCCTCATTGCTTGGGTTCTCAACTTTGTTGATTTTGATCTACGAGGATCATATCTACCATTTCCTAACATAGAGTTCCATGCCTGATTAGAACTCCAATTTCTGGGAGGATTAAACAGCCCTTCACAATCATATTCTAACCATTGACCTAGCTTTTCAGGACTCACTACATATTCAATGTTTTTCAACCTAAATTTCATGGTGTATGGCAAGTAATCTTCAGTACCCTTTTCTATCACTTCCAAACTAGTATTAAATTCATACACCAAATGTTCATAACCATCCAATCTCATTCCTACTAGGGTTCTTCGGTTTAGATTATCAAGCCCAGGGCTGTGCAAAACCAGGTACCCAAATATTCGGATAAAAAACCGGATAACCCGGTTTATAACCCGAATTTGCATAACTTTGCATGAATTTTAATTTTTTACATTTCAAATTTCAATTTGTGAATACAGTTCCTTCCATTTACTAAATCAACTTTTAATTTAATAACTTAAATACTTAAGATTTGGGGCTTTGGCCTCTTGCTTTTTGAAAGTTAAAGGAAAATAAGTTTAAAAACTAGGTTTTTTTTTTTTTTATTTTTTTTTTATTTTTATTTCTTAATAAACCGGGTACTCGGTTCTCTTAAAACAAATACCCGATACTCGAACCGAAAATTCGGGTATCACATAATAAATACCCAAAACTGACCCGAATTTTCGGGGTTCGGTTTAGTTAGCGTATTCGATTCGGTTAACTGTTTTTTTTGCACACCCCTAATCAAGCCATTCAAGTATTGGATCTAGCAAGCCCCAATGACGCAAGTTATACTAGTAAAAAATGCGTCCAAGAAACAAAAATATACTCTCTACACTCTTTAACTTTCTCTTGTGCTTTAGACCTCTGAAAATCATACGATTGGGTCCATTGAGATTTCTTGAATGAGGTAGAGAGGCTCCTCTTGAAACTCTTTTGGTTCTAGTCATGATTGGTGAGTGTTAGGATAGATTTGGCACTGATTTGGTGAGATTTTGGGTGAAAAATATTGGGAGAACAGGGAGAACTATGCAGCCATTCTCATGAAAATGGAATGTCTCTTTTTATATATTTTGCATTAAATAGCGGTTCGCTTGAGCAAAAACGAGCATTCCTAGGGTTTTTAAACCTAGAAATATGGCGGTTAACAGGAACAAACGTTAGCGATAGCAAGAGCGAACATTCCTAGGTTCTTAAACCTAGATTTGGCGGACAACAAGAGCGAGCGTTCCAAGGAGTGAATGACCGTTTAGACTAGAACGGCTAGGAAGATTTGTCGTCTTGGAACACTTAAAAAAATATAGGAAAAATTCATGAAATTTTGACCCTTTTGCACGTTGACTAATACATCACCAGACAAAATATCCTAAACATTTTAATCACTTTGAGGAATTTTCATGAATGAGAAAATATATCAAATTGATAACAACCACAAGATTGCATCAACTTAATTTTCTTCAATATCATTGTTTTCCCAAAATTTTAGGAAATCTAATTAAGAATTGAATGAAATTGAAACTAAGAAAATAAAACAATCTTTAGAAATAATAAACTCATATTATAGAATTCAAGGGGGTGTTCTTTTACGAATTTTGTGTATCCGGTTTTTTTTTTTTTTTTTAAATATTAAAAAAACATTTGTAAAATACGAAAAACAAAAAAGCGTTTAGCATGAGGTTTATTGAATTATAAGGTGGCGCCTAAAATTTACAACCCTTTCAGAAAATGGATTAGTATAGGATAAATTGAGTAAATTTTTTCAAGCAAAACTACACTTACAAAATTTTCATATAAATAAATGAATACAAAGTGATGTTAAATCACTCTTTAAATGTCATATCAATTAATGAGTTGAGTTTATATATTCACTCTATCATACATATTTTATCACATCACTTTGTATATACAATAATAATTGATTTACAACTTAGTCAAATAAACTGACAAAAAATAAAAGATAAAGTAGTTATTTTACATAAATTAGTATAATTCGTTTGTAAGTATAGTATTATTTTTGTATATATATCTTTATAGAGATACTTTGTAAGTGTAATATTATTCAATTTTTTATGGGTTGAATTGGGTAATTTGGTCTTTGTACAAACTTTTTAATATAAAATTGGTATGTCACAAAGTGAATAAATGAATAATTGCATGTAAAAAGTCAACTTAATAAATTTTCAATAAAAGTTAATAAATGAAAAATTGGTCAATTTGTATACATTGGTTTGTAAATATACAAACTAGAGATAATCTAAAATACAATGGTAGTACCTCCTCATGAAGTTAAGTTGGTACCACAAGCCGATGAGAGGTTAACATGTGTCAAACACATTAAAAGATTCATACATTGATTTTATATTCTTTATAAATTATAATTTTTAAAATATAATATGAGTTTTTTCCATCGTTGATGTTGTTCTTTTCTTCGCGGGTTTTCGATAATTGAAAAAAAAAATATTGTTATCACCTTAATTGGAAAACAAAATTAAAACAAATCAACCACTATTTTAACACTACAAGAAAAATAGCAAATCATCTAGTTTAGATACTGACCATATTGCGCGTCTAAATTTATGTAGTTGCATTTTAGTTACGAAATCGCAATCCCAGAAAGAATGGACAACTAAATATTAGGTTAGACGAGGAGATTATTTTTTTAGAAACCAACAA